AAATATCAATATGAAGAAAGGGCTTAACTGAATGAACTGAAAGCAGAATCAAGCCAGACGATTTTCATTGAACTGTGGCGCATCTCATTTTAAAAGTTTACCTCACAGCTATCTGACTTATAGTTAGACTGCCTGAAGAAAATTAGGTTATTTTTTTAAATTTCTGTCTTATGACTAGCTTCTTAGAAACTGCTATTCTGAAATAGTTATACAGTTTGTAAATCATTATTTATTTTTATCTGTAGAAGAAGGAAAATCAAATCCTCTCATTTTATAAAATAAAATGATTTATTTCGGCATCAGATGTGGTCTCAGTTCACCTCAAGTTATGCCAAAACAATTTGGCATTAGAATAATAATATGGAGCAGAAAGAAAGAGGCATATAATAGTGCACAATCTACTTAAAATTCAAATTAAAAAATAATTTGCATGGGAGTGTTAGGGAGGAGAACAGAAGTCGGTTGTCAAGGACATCCACACCTTCTTCCCTGCCTTCCAGCTTCTGGCAAGATGTCCTATTGTAGCAAAGTAGCTATGTCAATGCACAAAATAAAAATAGAAAGAAAAAGGCTTAAACCCAAAGACTGAGGTGTAAAAACCTTTGCTTTGTATTTGACAGCAAGCCAGAACCCCTGATGGGTGCCTTCTAACCTTTGGCATGACCTTTAGCTTTCTTCATTGTATAGAAGTTCCATTGTGAAACATCCTTGTTGAAAGCAAGGAGATGATGTAAGCTTACTGAGCACAATTTTGGACAGTAATAGGAGAGACAATATCAAGAAGTTGCTGAGATGCTTTGTTATCCTCTCTATTGGAGCCTGAGTAATATTTGAAATCCAAGTATGGTTTATTGTTTCATGGAAACGAGGGTTGCAAAGTATTTTGTAACCATTCAATCAATCATTATATTGTTCTACCATAACCAATGACAAACATTACAAAAAGATTGTTATAATCAATGATGGTAAATAATTCATTGTCAGGAACATTTCTTGGTCAACTAGCTTATGTCTTTGCTAATGACATTAAAATGACTGCAACCCTTTTAAATATCCTAGAACCCTATGAAGTCTGTGTAAATCACTTGAATAATAACAACAAACATTTCTTTAATTTCTGAGATGAAAAAAATAATGAGACAAATCATCAATTTTTTTTAACCACTGTAGGCTGAATCACAGATGGTTTTGGAAATATTGTCCTCTAAAATTGTTGATGAAGTTAAGTTAAAAACTACAAGCGCTAATCTGGTGAAGTTCTGCAGAAATTTATCTTGAGGGTAATATTATACAACATTATTATTATTATATATATTTGCTTATCTCATGATGGGTTGCTTATCAAATTTTAATATTATATGAAATTGGGAGTGCTCAAAATATCAGAATTAGATTACAACCTAATCCAAACAGGTTAAAATACTAGGCTGATAAGAACAAGATATCTTCCAACAGGGAACAATGTGAAGTATTACATTTAGGGAAGAAAACAAAACTTAGAAAACTACATCAGAGAAGGATTTGGATTGATCATTGACGTCAAGCTAAATATGGGAAGTGATATGAAATAGGTTCTAGAAAGGTCCCAATGCAGTTCTGGATTCAAAGAAACGCTGCCTCAAATATGTGTGATTCCTCCGTACTTTGCACAGTGAGATCACACCTGCACATCACACCCCATAAATATTCAGACTAGAATCAGGATAAGTGGATAACAAAGATTATACAAGGATTTGAGTACATGCCCTGTGAAGACAGGCTGAAGGAATTTCAGATGAGAAAACATTCACTTCCATAAAAATATACCATACAGAAAATAGCCAAGTGTGATTTTTCAATCCCACAGGAGCTAAGATAAGAAATAACAAGTACGGTTACAATTACCTAGCTTTTGTTTAAAAATTAAGAAAAAACTTCTGATGGTAAGATCTGTAGAACAGTATGACAGAGGTTGTGCATTCTCCAGCTCTGGAGATTTTTCAAAATGAGTTGGATTCAAAGACTGTTAATTGGTTTTCCTGCACATTGCAAAGAGTTGATCTAGATGATCCTTTTGGTCCCTTTCAACTCCACCATGATTCTATAGTCTACTGCAGTATACTCATTTGCAGAAAAATATAAAATCATTGAGCACATCTACAGGGCATCTCTTCTTTAAAAAAAAAAAAAGTAAATAATCTTACAGATGAACTTTTTCAAGCAGAATCTACTATCCCTTGGAAAGGAGGACAAATAATCTACCTCTTTCCTAATTTTTGCCAGTTACAGTAACTATTATGATTGCCTATTGTGGCATTCCTTACCAGAATTACTAACCTCCCATCCCTTTAAGCAGGGGTGAAATGCTCCCGGTTTGGACTGGATCGCCCGATCTGGTATCGATGGTGGCTGGTGGTTCGGAGCACCGGTAGCAAAAATCCCTGCCCCCCCCCATGCCCAGCTGAGCCACACGATCATCAGAGGGTTTTTTTTTTACTTTTAAAAGCATTTTTTCTACAACCTCTTCGGCCAAAGAGGTTGTAGAAAAAAAAATGCCTTTAAAAGCCTCTGACGATCCCAGCTGAGTTGCCTGATCGTCAGAGGCTTTTAAAAGCATTTTTTTCTGCAACATCTTAAGGTTGTAGAAAAAATGGTTTTAAAAGGTAAAAAAAAAAAGTTGGCCACGCCCACCAAGTCACATTACTCCCCCCAAGTCATGCTCACAGAACCGGTAGTAACAAATTTTACATTTCACCACTGCCTTTAAGAATGGATAATCAAAGAGGATAACAATAACCAAAGAGTTATGAAATAAAACTAGGAGTAATCTTTTCATTTTTAATTCTAAAACTAAGCTTAATCTTCAGTTTTGACCTTTTGAAAGTACTTTAAAAGTAAAAAATACCTTTCTCCCAGGCTATTATTTTTACAAATTTAAATAACCAAGTAAAGTAAGTAGGATTTTTACCAAAAAAACCAAGCATAAGACTGAAGTTCCCCATTCATGTATAGGCTGAATACATATGATTTGAACAAAATTAGGAAAGAGTCCAAATTCAGTCAACTCTAGGCAAATAAAAATAGTCCATACAATTTGTTCTCTAGCCTGTTGTCCTGCCCAGCTCTGATCAGTTAATACATTTGCATAATTGCATTGCTATTAGAAATGAGGCACTGTAAGAGACAAGATAAAATAGATCATATCTCGTGATAATCTACTCCTAACTTTGTGGGAAATATTAGGAACATGCTAAGATGTACAGGAAACTTAACCCCACAATACTGAACAGTTTCCAGTTAATATTTCCACACAGATTGACCAACGTATCCACACTAGCTTTTTAAACAATGCTAACCTTATATCAAGGGAAGAATGTATGAGCAGAAAGACTGGCACTAAAAAAAAATCCTTGCATTAAAAATATACAATAGAAGATTCGTGAATATCATCAGGAGGAAACTCATGCTGGATTTCATAACAGGGTTCATGCACTGTATTGTTCACTTGGAACAATAATTTTACATCACTGAAGTTAATTTAATTGAAATAGGACTTAATGGGAAAAGCTTTTTTTGATAATGCTCTCCCTTCCTGAAAAAAAAGCAGATAGGGTTTGCAACAATGGCTGAAGGGTTAGGAGAAAATAGAAGAATTGGGGTACCTGTTAGTATTACATTTTATAATATGTAGGGGTTGGATTTTTTTTTTTTACATCGTTTCATATTGTTTGGACACTTCAATCTCAAAGAAGTAATATAGGTGACAAGTTACTTGATCAAAATTCATCAGGAAATGAGATGTGGCTCCTAGGACTATGCAAAATTATCCAGTGGGTTATTTTTTTCTTTTCCCAGCAGCAGTTATTCTCTTGAAAACATCCACCCTTTATGATAATAAGACACTTTAAAAAGCCCCCTCATTATCATCTATGGAGGTTATTTATGTTTATGTTTTGTTTCACATAGTTCATAAAATGGGACTAATCTATTTACTACTTTAAAGCCTTCATAATGGGAAAAGGTCTCTTATCTCTAGAATGTTCCCATTTCCCTGGCCTGGGAAAAAGTGCAGAATTTGGGAATGTAAGTCAATGATGTCAAAGAAAGATACTAGTGAGACAGAGGGAAACCTCTATAAACCATAATCAGCCCATTGGCTGGCGGTTCCAATCCTTGATGAAGTGCATTTCCTGTTACCCAGGTTTGCAAGCAGTAGGTAATATGCCTACTTACAAAGGCTATCTGCCACTGCTACTCAAACATCTCAAACCTTGACAATATTAAAAGCATGCATGCATCCTACATGTCACAATCACATAAAAAGAAACCAAAACCAATACCCAAGCCTCATTTTTAACTTTCTACATCACAGCAGATTGTTAGACTAACCTTGTGTGATCTGCACTGACTTTCCTAATAAATCTTGTCTCTTTCCTTGGCCACTTTATAGTAAACAAAACACTTTATAGTATAACAAAAGCCAAGTTATCAGACATAGGCCTTTGCAGATAAACGTGGTGCTTTAAACTGATCTGCCTGGTTCTGGGGAGCCTTGTAAAAGATAATTTGCCATATTTTATTTATTAGTCGATGCTTTCCCAAATCAGGCTATTGATAGCGGTGGCCCTGGCCAGAGATCTACATACTCTAGGAAATAAGTATTATATATTTACTATATTACATATAATATTACATATTTACTGAAATGGCATAAGTTCTCCTGCTCGAGCTGAGGGGCTGGACTAGAAGACTTCCAAAGTCCCTTTCAGCTCTATTCTATTCTAATTCTAATACTATATTCTTTAGTAACATACATGGTCATGAAAGCAGGCACTTTTTAACAAATTGTTGAACAGCCAAAACAAACTTAGATACCACATGCTTCAGGTTAAACATACTTCAATATGCTTTAAATTTAAGCATTAAATTTAAATATTTAAGCATTAAATTGAATATTTAATGATGACCGTGATGGTGATAATAGTAATAAAAAAATCACGATAACAATGATAATAGTATACCTGCAGGCTTTTCTGTGCTGCTGGCCACAGTGGTAGGAGGAACAACAGGAATCTCTGTGGGCAAAAAGAAAAAGTGGACAGAAAAAAGAACAAACAAATAGGGAAATGTATTATTTACTTTTCTAGCTAAGGAATTGGGCAATTTTATACTACCAGATAGATGACTACAAAGATCATCATTTCATAGAGGTGACAAGATCACCTCTAGACCACACAATGGTGGAGAAGCTAATAATTTACCCCATAATTTGGAATCACCATCTACACAAAATTACATTCAGGAGAGGCTGCCACCTAGCTATCATAGCAAATATTAGCAACACCTATACTAATCTTGATATATACCCACAAATTCAGTAACTGAAAGCAACACTCATATTTCTGGGAATCATATCTTTTTCTAGGAATTTCAAAACCAAAACCAAAACCTGGTGTTATGAATTTGAGGCCCATTCTTCACACAATTTAGAGGTTCCATTACTGAAACTATCTCCCATCCCGCTCATGTCAGATCTAAGAATATTCTAAATTAATGGGGAAGTGGCATTTCAGGGACTAATTGTTCTCTTTCATTCCCACTTTTCCATACAAAATCAGCAGTACTTAAAATAGCTGTCTTTCTGAAAAAAGAGAGACACTTATCTATCTTTCTATCAGTAAAGTTAATATCAGCATTCCAACATGAAAGGAGAGATTGGGTTTGTGTCCAATGGCTATAATTTTAACTTCTAGATGCTGATTATCTTTCACATAGTAAAATAATATGCATTTAAGATATATTTTTCTTTTTAGTGAAGTATAGAGTTTATAGACAAACTGTATGCATCTGCAGCTTGTATTTTGTTTTTACTGAAAGAGCAATAAAATCCTATTCTCCAACTTTCTCCAAATGTTTCCTATCTCATTTTAGAATGAATAAAACTATAAGTAGAACTATACTGTTTGCACAACCATTGGGTGAACTAAACTAAAATTAGATTTGTAGTTAAAGATATATTTAATTGACAAGGAGTGCCTATAATGTTAATTGCTCCATTAGAGAGTTCACTATGTTAATCTTTTGCAGCTAAAAGCAATAAATCCCAAACGGGAAAAATAGTTTGAAATTCTTATTACATTCTTTCCAGTAGCGTTATTATATGAGTTTTCTACTCTCTGGAGCCATAATTTCTTTGTATTATTATTTAATTCAGCTCTCAGATTCACAAATAACTTTATAAAAAAAAGGTATATTAATGATAGTCTATTAAAAAAAAGGTATATTAGTCTATCTCTCATAACACTATAAGTACTTGTAGATATTTTCAGCAAGGTATGTCGGACAGTGGTGATAGTGAATTTAAGCAATAGTATTCAAGGAGTATATGACACTATTGTTTCTTTAATCAGGCAGTAGCCATGTCTGCTTAGCATCAGGAAAACAGTGGTATTACATACCTCCATCTGAACAACAGTACAGGAATATATTTTGGGATACATAATTCAGTTTATTTAGAAATGCATCTTAAGAATTTGTTTTGGGTCTCTAGCAAAGACTTGTTTCTTTCAACCATATTCTCTTTTTTTCTGCATTAGAGCCAAGGAAACAATGTACTGGCACGATATAAAAGTTTTCTACTCCATTGTTATTCTTCAAAGTTGCTATAAATGTAGCTTGGCTCTTTATAACAACATTTCTTAAAAACCAACACAGCCGAAGAAAACATTGTTAAGAATTACACCACAATAAATCTGATTACAGTAGCAGCAGTTGCAGGAAGGGGGCATTAACGAATGCTTTCATTATTCTACAGCAATTAGTATACATGCAGCACGATTAATAAGAACTACTTTTGGTTTTTGGGGGCTTTTTACATTCCTAAAATCATCTGGCCGCTGGAGCTTCTTCCCTCATTCATGGCAACAACCAATATTTACCTAAATATAAAACAGAACACAATTCCCAACGTTTTGATCACAATATCCACTGGTAGTAGTATGATCCTCATCAACTGGATGAAGCCATGTTGATAAAGAAATTAAAAACAGCTGGATTCTCAGCTTCTCATACTGGAGTCAAGTGCACAGGTAGGATTTGCTTCATTTCATGTTACTCCCAAGTGTATCACTTTATTTTCTTCTGTACATGTAAATGAATGTAACTCTGGAAGCTAAGGAGGCACATGTGGTTTCTCCTCTCCTATCAGCTATCCCTATATGCAGTAAATAGGGCTCAGAAACAGTGATTGCCCCAAAATCACTCTGAGCTCCCACCTGGGAAAAGGTGGACCCAACTCTCTGGAAACCTGACTCTCAGTTATATGGAATGAAAGTCTAGAACAGAAAGTGGCATCTTCACATAGGTGAAGAGTGGGGTACAACTGGATTTTGTCTTTGCAGGCTTTGTACCATGTAAACTGTGTACATGAAAGGAGGCCTTGGACATCAGTGAGTTCTCTAAACTGAAGGAGGATATTCCCAGAAGACCACATAGCTTCATCCATGGACGCATCTCTCTTGAAGTCATAACTACCTCATAGCTAGTCATCAACTCCCCTCCATTTGTAAAATAGAACTGGAAGCAACATCATTTGTTTACTATAGTGATTGTGTAAGCAAGTTAGGAAAGATTCGTTGTTTATATATACGTCAGCCATGAAATAGGAGATTTCACAGAATTAGAATTGTAGGCTACTATTATTACTCTTTTACTAAATATCCATTAAGTTGAGAGATTGATGTGAAAAATACCAGTGTAAATAGAATCCAATTTAAAAAGACCAAGTTGCATTAGCTTTATCATTCTATACTGCGTAGGACTAGATTTTTAGGTTTCACAATTTGCCACTTTTTTTATTTTGTTTTGTTTCATAGAAGTTCCTAACAATGAGGGAAGTTGGGCAGTTTAATATTTTTACTTGAGACATAAGTAACAATACAATAGTAGCAGGTTGCATTTAATGGGAAAAACAAAAATACATATTCTGCCATTCAAATATCACATCTTAACCTTCAAATATTTCATAGAAAAGTGATCGCTATTTTCTATTCAGATCACATAATTGACATATATATATATATAACCTCACTCTAAATTTATATGCAAAGTGAATGCAAAACATCACAACACAGCTATTGCACACATTATACCTTTAATGAATCTGAATTATAGTAAATCCAGTGGGATTTCCAAATTCATATAAGTCTTTTTATTGCTATTGGCTTTGCTCTCCCCTGTGTGTTGCCCCAGAGATCTCGCTGAAGAATTGCACTTTTACTGGGTTCACAGTATATACCAATAACATCCATGAACACTGTACTGTATGAGTAGCCAAACACAGTCTAAATAAAACTGAGTCTATCCAGTTAGGTGTTAGTAAACAAGCCAGACTCAGGATTAATTATGTTATGGTATAGATGTCAAAAAGAGCATCCACCTACTTATGCAGGGGGCAATGGGAGATCTGCTTTGCTGGTAGCCTTTGGCACATCGATTACAAGTGATGCCCGTCACACCATCTTTGCAGGGACATTGCCCTGTAGTTTGATTACAGGTTTTTCCAGCTGCACCCACGGGATGGCAATCACATGCTGTGAGGGGAACATACAACAAAAGGATCAGAGGACGGTACTGGAAGGAAAGGAAGGATTTTCCAAAAAGAACATGTGTTATCAAAAACCAATAGCATTCAGGATTGTTTTACCAGAATTATGGACATTAGGTGAGAAGAGAGAATCCTGTAGTCTTTACCTTTGATTGCACATTATTTCTCATCCAAATATATTAGTGCTTTAGAAATCTACCTTTCCCAAAAAATCTGAGAGAGAAATGATGTCTGACCAGTACTGCTGCATGAATATGTTTAATATATGTTAACATACATGTTTGAACTCACATTTATTTTCACAAGATTCAATGCTCACATCTGTATGTTACAGTCTTTGTTTTTACTGTTCTTACTAAAGAAGTCTTTTCCTCAATCTCACTGAAATTAATAAAGAGGAATAATCCCACCATAAATAAGACATGAACAAAAGAACCTGTTCTCTTTATTATTTTTTTCAAGCTGTCTCTGAAACCTGCAAGCTACCCATGTAATTGTTCTCACTAGTAGCTATTATGTCCAAATCTATCTATGCAGAAAAGACATCTGAATTTTTATGTCAGTGAATATTGAGGTATCACATAATATCAAACGATAAATTGGTGGAATGCAAGCAGAAGTATGATGGCTTGCAAAGTAACCCTAGATTAGAGACCCAAGACTGCATAAAAGAGTGTGAGTACATTTGGACTTTGGTTGTGCTTGTGACATAATGGCCAAAATGACCCACACTGACCTTACTTTTAGCAAGGTATGTGGCACAGGTATGACTAAGGATGGCAACCAAGTCTTATTCCCACTTGGATATATTGTGTGTCTATAATAAGAGAAAGGGGGAGGATGCAAGAAATTTGAATGAAGATGGTCTAATCTTGTGAGTTGATGTATATATGCAGAGAAGTCAAAGTATAAGTTTCATTATGAATGAAAGGGCTATAATGTCAAAAATTTCAACTGAGTGTAACCAAAGTTCTTGCGGGTATGAAGGAAAATAGGATTTGATAGCTGTTGATGGCTCTGTTAGTTTCTAGTAAATGGTGATAATGGAGGAATCAGATATGAGCTTTGGGGAGGAAAAAGCATTCAGAATGACATCATCCAGGAGGGTTTTTTTTTTTTAAATTAGATACTAGGAATCAAATCATAGAGTAAGAATATCAATGATTTATCTGCAAATATATTTGTTTTCCATTAACAATTTTAGAACATGTTGGGATATGCTTTTTCAAAGACAAACTGGTCAATTCAGTTAACCAAAAAAGCATTTTAAAAAGGATGCATGTTACAATTTCTTTCAACTACCAATCTTAATTCACAAATATGCATTGAAAGTCCTTAGTCATGCTAGATACATATTTAGATTTCCACAACAGGAGAACCAAGGGGTCCAAAATGGTGGACATAATTGTGTATCTCAGCCCAGCACATTCTACTGTTTGTTGCTTAGTGAATTGCCAGTCTAATGAATTCACTTGATAATTTTCTTAAGGTTACAATGCAGCAAAATGAATCAACAATCATGATACAGAGATAATAATGTACAAAGCCTTGCATCAACTAAATTAAAGGGACCTGGGAATTTTACATGGCAAAATGGACTTTACCATGCAGAGCCAATAAATGTTTATTTGACAAAGAAACTACTGCTTCTTTTTGTTTATTTGTTTCTTTTAAAGTTCTTTTTAACCCTAAATTTATTTCTAACTTTTAGTCAGGAATGCTGGAAAGACAGCTGTAAATTTAACTGGCCAATAGTAGGTGTACATTGATACTATTATTGGCTCTCAACCTTTATAGAAAGAAACCAAAGTTTTTAGAGACAGGAGAGGAAATCTGTTGAACAAGAAAATGTCCACCACAGAACAACAAAATCCAAAGAGTTAAAGGTCTCAAAAGCAACTGGTTGATCTTGACATAAAATTATACTAATGTAATTTGGATGGAATGTGAGAAACCATTGTGTTATATAGAACCCTCAGCCTTTTGCAACAAGGAGGGATTTTGGCATCAGCATGACTTTATTCTAATGTCTTGCAAACTTTTTGTTTACTGAATTTTCAAGAAAGTGCTCAGTTTAAACCCTCTGTTGCAGAAGTTCATAAGAGATTCTTTTTCTTTCATGGGTTTATATTGAAATCAAGATTCCCTTCCTTCAAGCAAATAAACCAAGGATGCAGGGTGGCAAAGGAGGGGGCTGTGGGAAAAAGAAGCACTGGTCTTATATACAAAGAATCAAAGTGTCTGATGAAAAGCAAGGAAAGCTTTAAATTAGCAAAGATTGCAGCTTCCTTGTGGTTCTAAGCAGCATTGTAAGGCAGCTGTTTAAAACACAGCCAGTGGCAGAAATGACTGAAACACACTACCGACATAATAACCTGAAATACAGCATGTTTACTAATTGAGTTAATATCATTTTAACTATATATGTCTTATTAATTTTGACATTATTTTGATTTGGCAGGAGAGGCATTTCCTCCAGATCTTGAACTAGTTATGACATTGATTCTAAGTTGATGTTTGATTATATGAAGTGATCTTCTGAAAGTGCATTTCAGAAACTTTTTTGTTGCCGTGGCAATACAACAAAAGTGTTTTTCTTTTGTCAGCATGGCTTATTAATTTTATTATTAGTTAAATATTATATTTTGAGTTTAGTTTTATGATACTGTGAACAGTACTTTGAATGCTCTACCATTCTAAAGAAGAAACTGAACTCAGTAGAGTATACTGTATATATCAATCAAAGAACATTCCCAGAAAAAAGGAAGACAGACAATTAGCAATTTATTCCAGAAAATGAAACAGAATTATTTATTGCTCTAAAAGTGGGAGCAGAAGGAAACAAGGAGCAGATTTTATTTAGACATTGGGAGAAAACATAATTAGACTAAGAGCTGTTCAACTACATAACAGGCAATCTTGTGATGTTGTTGTCTTCTACTTCATGTATACAGTATAAACAAAGGCTAGGCAACAATCTCTATCTTGCAGATCCTATCCTGAGCAACAGTTGTATAATTATTTCAAAAGTTCCTTCAAAACATTAGTTGTAAAACACTGAGCAATCAAAACACCGAAGGCCTGATATTATTTTGTTTCACAAAGGGGATTTCAGATCTTGCTACATTTGGCACAGGATGAACAAGCTGAGCAATGATCCATCGCTGAAGCTTAACTTTTGGCAGAGAATCTTGGGAGCTAAAATTTATGAGCAAGATTGCCCTTCCAAATTTAAAGTTTATCCAGCTTACTGCCTTTCCATATGTTAAATTCCACTGCTCCACACTTGGTTTACATTGGCAAATGGAACATGAGTGCATTCATGGTTCATATCATTCATCATTTTTTCATCAAAAGCCTGGAAGTCTTTTCCCAGGGTGCATTACAGTTTTACACCAATTTTACTAAACCTGGGAGAAGCTCTCTTCCAATAGGATTACATTAGTATCAGTAGCCTGGCAAATATCAGAGTTGAAATTAATCAAAGAGGCTTAAAGAAGCAGCTCCACATACTGGGCGCAGCAGGAGAGATGCTGCCTCAGGAAGTTCTACGTTTAGAAAAAGAGTGGAGAAGAAATAAAAGCAAATCATCATTTTGTTTAAGAAGAAACAGAAAGGGGGCATTTCTCTCATTTTATAACCTGTTTTTTTGGCACACAACAAGTTGACACAAGAGAAAATTGTATTAGACAATTTTCAATACATTTCAATAATCAGTTGTATACTTTTTAAAAGATAAACCAGATTTTCCTCAAAAATAATACTACGATTATTACAATCGGATGCGTCACAATGCATCCTTGAATTTCTGTTACCCTAGAGGGCATCCAATCTTTCAGCAGAACAAGATGATATTTGAAGCAGCAACTCTTCAGTTTAACATTAGTTACACAATTAATTTATTTGGCAACAGGTCTGTTATCCATTTATGAAAAGGCAGTGACACAAGAGGTGAACTACATTTAATAGGATCATTTTGCATTCATCTCTGACCTGGAATTAATATATTATAAAGAACATATTCCCCAAAATATGGTTAGGTTCAATTCTTGACAAATATTAACTTCCTCACAATATATCCTTTTTTAAAAAAGAAAGATGATTATTTATTTTGAGGTAATTCTGATAAACAGCAATTGTTTCTATGTTTGATTTACCTTCAGAAAGGCAGTTCCAGTTCAATTCCTATTCTGTTCATACATGGAATTTTGGCTTATAACAGACTCTTAAATTTTCAGATGGAGTAATACTATTTTGTGTCTATTCTGATCTAGCCATGTGTCTCTGTTGCATCACTGCTTTAAAAGTCATATTGACTTCAGTGAAAGGACCCCTTAAAGCAAAATTGTCTCCCCTCCCCCTCCTCAGATTCATACAGAAGCCTGGGACTGCTTTAAGAAGAGCACAGAAGTGCTATGCCTGTGCTTGCTCCTAGTCAGATATTTTTGTCTTCTGGAGAGTTCCAACTGAGAGGCAACATCAAGAATGATTTTCACCGATATCGTGAATTCACTTGTATTATTTGTAATTCAGTAATTTGGGAAGAGAAGGCATACTGCCGGTAAGGGCAGGGAGAAAAAGCAGGAACTGTGTCACATGATTAATAATATCTGCATGGGAAATTTCCCAAGTTCCAGTCTTAAATCCCATGTAATAATCAAATCTTTAAAAATATTTGTCAAATGAAGTTGCTTTATTCATTATACTGACTTCATCAAGTTCTATCTATCTATCTATCATCTATCTATCTATCTATCTATCTATCTATCTATCTATCTATCTTTCTATCATCTATCTATCTATGTATCATCTTTCTTTCTTTCTTTCTTTCTTTCTTTCTTTCTTTCTTTCTATCACCTATCTATCTATCTATCTATGTGTCATCTATCTATTGCTTTTGCTGCCTAATTCTTAATCATGCCCCTGGTCCACTGAATCTAACACAGTTATCTCTGAATATCACAGCCATCAACTATCATAAAAAAC